CACGACTACAAAGGTCCTACTTATCAAAATCTCGCTGATTGCAACAGGCAATTTTAACAGATTGAACTAAAGGCGATTTAAAGGGAGTTGAACTTCCTATTGAACAGATACTGACGTTTTCCTAATAAAGATACCCTACCGATGCTGCAGAAAATAACGTTTCAATTCCCATTTTTACAAGCAATGACTTACCACATCCCTCTCCAAAGACTTAGGGCTAAAAACCATTATTCGTCTTTGCTTCTTGATAAGTCTGCTGAGTCTCTGGGTTCTTTGAGCGCAGGTCAATGGTTTTCCGGAGATCGGAAACTCGTCCTGCAACTCAGTCTCGAGATCATCCACGCTTTTGTCAACCGGTGAATTCTGCTTCGTCGTTACCGTGCTCAACGGCACGGCCTTCGCAATCAGAGTCTCGCTCCGCACGCTCCAACTGGACCCGCCGTATTTCTTCATGTTCATCAAATCGCCTATGCTGCCTCTCACGCTACTGCTGCCCAGCTGAAGGTTCGTACGGGATAAGGCGGGTGAATGCGGAAGCGACTCGGAACATTTCTCCGTCGACCTGACAACATCTGGCAGGATTGTCTTGCTCTGAAGCTTATCGAGATCCGACAGGGACGATCCTCGACGGATTTTCGCTCGCACTTGAAGACTTTTCTTCGAGAATCTCTCCTTGCTCTCTCTCTCCTTCTCGCCGCGGCTCACGCTCTTCGAAGATAACGATGACTTCATAGCGAACAGGCCCGCCTTCAAAGGGAACAATAAAGCCCATTCCGTCGACTTCTCCCGAGTTTCCATTGTGTAGTTTTTCGTCTTTCTTGATGATACTTAGAAACTCAATAAGATAGCTCTCTTTCTTTCAGCGGAAATTGAGAATTCAATTCGTCAAAACGTTATCATTTTTTCGAGTGACGAAGGTTCTTGTCGTCCGTGATGGGGTTTCAACACGATATTTCGTCATATAGAGCCGTTAAACATATATTGAAACAAATCGTGGTTACATGTGTCAAGGATATTCGCGATAGTGTCGCATCCGCTATTTAAAAGGACATCCGCTTCATATCGGCTTATCGAATTTCGTTCAAACCGTCCATTAATTACATCCTTATACTTGAACTAGTTGAAAAATTTCTTTTTATATATGTAGCATTTTTCTTTTTATGACTCATGATATTGATCTTCGTTGCACGTATAATCCACAGGTACCTGACGTCCTCCGTTTATCCTCTTCGTAATAATGTTCTATCCAAGTTCCTACGTAAGTTTCCCATGTCGCCGGTATTCAAATCCAAGAAGCGCGGCGCGACTTATTTTGACGTAGATTTATAGTGCCTCGCGTGAGAAAGGGAAGATCCTCTTTCAGCCAGTTCCACGATCAGACTCGCTAAGAGATCCAAGCGCGAGAACCGAGCTGAAGGTGGTGGTCAGCTTCCCTCGGCTGGACCACTCGGTGGTATTTTCACTTAAGTTAACACGACCCCCCGCACAGACGCGCCCTTTGCGAGGCATACGACGAGACTTCCGTCTAATAAAAGCCTAATAACGATCGATACAATCGCTCCGCCTCTTTCATCCGCCGATTCGTTGAAGTCGAGAATGTGCTTAACTTCGAACTTGGCAAGAAGAGGTAACTTCAAGGGAAAACTTGAAGAGCGGGGCGAGACTTTCGCCCTTCGATCCTTTTGCACGACGTGACGATGTGCTCGTAGTCGTCGGACCATTGACTATAACGATACTGAAAGAGAAACGTTCAGCTCGGGTTGACAAGCGCCAGCCGCGATAAGCAAATGGCGGGAGGCAAGACCTTGCCGCGAAGGTGATACCGATTTCTCGTCGTCGGACTGGCAGTCATACGGGCTTCTGATTACGACGCGGGCCACCGGCTTGGCCTACATAGATTACGTTCTACGAGGTCCTACCGCAGGAAAACGCGTGTATGCGCGTATGCGTTTACGAGCTTAAAAGAAGAACCGTCTTCAACTTGTTAGACATAGTTGAAATAATCTCGATACATGCATTACATTATTATTGAAAGAAATCAATGTACATTTAATCGTATGTATGTTGAAACTCGATACCGCGTAAAACAATTGTTCCTTAATATACATATGTATGTATATCCGATTTAATTAATATGTAAATTATATAAATTAATTAAAATATAAATATATGCCATATTGAACGTATTTAACATAATTGACCGGAAATTGAAATATAGAGCGTATATGCACTTGCTATCCTACATGTGTTTAAATTGTGCTTAAATAATTTCGAGATGGACTGACAGAGCTCTCCGCGAATAATACGCTGTAAGCGCGAAGAATTGTGCGTAGAGAACGAAATGGAGGCGAGATGAGGCTTTATCAAGACTCGTTCGACGGCGGAATGCAAAATGCATGCGACGAGAAGGAATCCGAAATAAAATGCAAAGTGAGCGCGCTCGCAGCACGGAAACCTACATCTTTACGTGAATAATAAAAAACGCGGCGGCGATGCGGCGGTGAAATCCGCCAACGTGCGTAGAAATACGGCGGCGGTGACTATACCGGCAGTCACGATCAAGTATAAGAACGTGTCTACACGTAAAAGCTATTTTATCAGTAAGAAACAAAGAAGAGAGGAAAAGCACGCTCCGGTGGCTGACCCTTGAACTCTTATAAATCGCTTTAACAAGAAACTCGGTCTCGAACAGCGGAAAAATTCCCCCGCCGTTGAAACATCCGTCCTAATGCGATCCGATCATTTTTCTTTTCCTTCGTGCGCGACGAGAGGAAGAGAGGAAGAAAATGAGAAGCACCCGGAAAATATCCCGTGAAGTGCTTCGACATTTTGCGAGACGCACAAAAATGGGTTCTCTACAAATTTTTATCGCGGCGATAATGTTATCGCGGCGATAATGTTTTCGCGTAGGATGGAAACGGTTGATTTGTACGAGTGCGTTACGTATCGTGACGTATACTCTCGGGAGCCATATCGCCCATATCCCTCGCGTCGAGTCGAACTTCCAAGAAGATCAATCCAAAATTATTTCCCGTAGGACGATTACTCTGCCGAGGATAGTTCTTCCGGCATGCAGGTAACGAGGGCGCGAGATCACGCAAGGATGATAATTCAGTCCCGCAAGAGTAATAGCAAATTTGGCTATTGTTCCCTCAAGCGCGAAAAACTTGTGGTATTCGTTCGTTTAAATGGTATCTAAACAATGCCGTGATATTGCGATTTTTTTCATTTATTATTCTCTCTATTTCTTTTTTTTACCGTATTTTTTTACGCAATTTCGCGATAATCATAGAGTGCGTAGGTTTATTTTTCAAAATCGACAGCTATTCAAACCGTTGTTAGTTGTAGTAATTACAACGCCACGAGGCCGGTCTTCCTGGTACGGTTTCCAAGCCGTGGAAGCGGAAAACAAACAATCGCTTCGCAACTGCCTGTTTCAGTCCGCCCACGGCCCCGCGCGAATTTACATTTTCCACCGGCGCGGCGGGCTAAAGTTTCTCGAGCATATACGATATATCGACTGTTGCGGTTCCCAGGAGCGCGCCAGGTGCGTACTCCGCTACTTTTGTTCGGTTCGACAAGACTGCGTTAATGGAAGTTTCGTGTAAGCCAGGCGTTAATCTGGCACCGGACGATCCGACAACGAGCGGTACACTTTTTAAGGTGGCGACGCTGAGGCGATAACGACCGTCAATAATTCGCTACGATACTTTATGTCGATCGTCGAGTATTTGCCTCGCACCTAAATCAATAGGCGGCATATGACGGTAATAACGTTTAACGGTCGTCGATTAGCACGATATGAAATATCGGTGCAATTGAAGGGGGAAATATGTCTGACTAACTGGATAAATAGCAAGAAACTCTCGATAATAAAATTAGCAAGTGACATCATTTTGATTTAATTATTACCGCATCGCTGAAGATGGCTTAAAACATTCGATTTATAATTATGTATCTTATTATTTATTAAAGATCATCGGTTTAACACTAACTTACGCGCCGTCAACCGTGTTGAACTCTCAAAGCCCCTTTTTATTTGTCACGAAAAAAATATGTCTTTGCCGCAAGTTACGATGAGAAAAACGGGCGAGCGATAAAAGGCAGAAAACTGCCGTAATGCATGTACATGCCGTGACTCTTATACCCATCTCTTTGTCTCGAGTTTCAAGTAGAGTAAGCTCGAGGATGATTGGAATGAGCATTTCGGCGAAACGATGCTATCGATGCGTCACGCGAGTGTCCGATTATTTAACAGTTTCGTCGCATCCTTCCCGGAAAGTAACGTCACATGTCACACTTCTTTATCTGCACGCCATTTGCGAGATATTTGATCAATTTTCAGCTGATATATAAACCGATATACATATGCCGATGCACGTATACATACACCAAGTCGAGTGTTGTTTTTGTCTGGTCGCGGAAATGCATTTTTCTGCCAATCGATAGAGAGCGAAACTCCGCCTGCCTCTGCATTAATGATAACATCGCCAGCGTTCTATCAATCATCATGACACATTGGCACATCAGCGATCGCTAAATATGGGCGAAACTAGTTTATGCAAATAATACCCGACTATAGATAGAATCAGCGAGTCTTTATCTCGCAGCCTCATTAAATATATTCGATGAGGATCAACGTACTGCCAGCGACCTTCCGTCCTTGAGCAATTAACATATAAACGAGCGACAAACCGGAGAACCGGGTAGTTCGTCTACGTGTGCAATGAATCGACGTTACGTGAAGGTAATGATTGACAAGGCCATTGTAGCTTGTCGTGAAGGACTATACGACAAATGCGGGATACTGCCGACGATATGCCGGCATCGCCGCATTTTTCCAAAGGTCGCCTCTGCGATCATTGACCGTCATTCTAATGAATGCCGGTGTGATTGATTTAATGGTCGAAATTTAAAACAAAGAATTGGAAATTTATTGGCAGTTATTACTGCCGCTTCGCTATATTCCGTCATCTTCGCGGAAAATTAAAAACGTGTCGTTAGGTCTTAATTTTACGTACGTTTAGCTGCATGATGATCTGATTGTACGCCCAGTGCCACCGTTGCCTCGCCGTCATGTCTGGACGTTCCTTCAGTTGCGTGGGCACCGGCGTGACCCCGACCATCCCGAGGAGTTCCTCGTCGGCCGGCGGCTCTGGCGGACTTCTCGGCGGAGTGTCCATCTGAACGCTTTCATCCAACGACGCCTGCTTTATTATACTCCCTGAAAATTGAGTCAGCCGCTCGATTGATTAACAAGAAAATGTTATATAATATTGTATTTCTTATTTAATTAATAATTAGCAAAATAATCTTACCTCGCGGGCTTTCAATATGCGACAAAGGCGGAGTTTCTTTGTACTGATCAAGTGAGTCCTCACGAGAGTTACGAAGTAAGGCTTCCTCACCTCGTTCGTACCTTTAGCAGAAATAAAAAATTCATTACACATCCGAACTGATATGATATATCAAAGAAAGAACATTTTCAATTATTAATTATAATTTATAATTGTAAAATTTAATTTTATACCTCTCAAGAGTCTCGTCCCGCATCTGGTAGTCACCGTTCACTGTGTTGCTGAGAACAATATCGCTCTGATCTATCGACTCCTGATCCTTGAAGTGACCGCGTTGATAGCTCTCCGCTCTGGAGATGGGATGCGGCGTAAAGTTATGTCCGTAGTTGCTACCTCGTAGTTCTTTCTGTTGATACGAATCGGTCCTGGTGAGAGGCGGTTTGAATACTTCAGTGGTCGACGAGAAAGAATCCTTTCTAGGCAGTTGAGCGTACGATCCTCTACGACCGTAAGAATCCTCGGTGTAGTTATCCGAGACGTAAGAGTCCCCTCTCGTGAGTTTCGGTTTCTGCGAGAGCGTTTGCTGAGAGTGCTGATTCTGATGCGACAGTTGCGAATCCTTTCGCTGTGTCTCTTTAGGAATAATCTCTGGATAATCTTCATCATCGATAATATCCTCCTGATAGGAATCCGTTCTGGCCAACGGTCGTTTCCCGTTCACGATATTCGTAGTGGTGTGGACCATCGCGGTAGTGGTTACGTGGTTGGCCGTCACATGATTGCCTATCGTCATCGCCTGTGATTGAGCGACATTCTGAGGAGACTCAACTAAGGTGGCGGGCGCGGGACTCGAGTCACCCGCTGTCGAGTACTCGCTGTACGCCTTCTTGAGTTGACTGCTGTTGGAGCTCACGGCAGTTTCGAACGAGTCCTTCAGCTCGTCGTCCTTCGACTCGAGCGAGTCCGTATTCTGCTGAAGAAGCGGACTGGCCTCGCGCTTGCTGAGTTTCTTTCTTCTCGAGTTGCTCAACGCATCTTCATTTTCTTGAGACTGATAGATATATTCCGATTCGCTCGATGGATAACCATTCGGTCTTGTCTGACCTCGTGGCGTGGTCACGGATAGCTCAGGCACTTCGCTCTGTCTTCTGTCCGTCGCCGTCGCTGTATCCTCTTTGTAACGCTGCTCCTCAAAGGACCCTTGATACGAGTCTGGATACTCGTCGTACGACTCTTGATAATTATACGTCGTAGGCACGTCATTCTGCTTACTATACGGAGTATGATAGTCTACGAAATCTTCCTGCGGCTGCTTGGTATAGGATTCCTGATAATTATCCTGTGACGTAACAGGCACTTGATTATACGTCTCTTGATAAGTCTTCTGATAATCGGTCGACGTATTGATATTGTACTGGGAATCATACTGTTCCGGCTGATACTGATTATAGGTGTTCGTGACGTTATTTTGATCGTAAACGCTCGTCGGCACGGTAGTAACACCGTAATCGTCGTATTGCTCTTGATAAACGTCCTGCTGCTTGTATTCCGGCTGTTGATATTGAACGTTGTTCTGATCAAAGCCCATCTCGTGATAATTGTCCTCAATTATCATGCCGTCGGGTTTGTCGTACTGATTCTTTGCCTGATTCGCGTACTGGTGATCGTTCGCCTGGCTAGCAACTGGATATGTCGTGTCCAGATACGCTTCTTGATACGCCTGAGTGTTTTGCTGCGCGTAAGGTTGCTGGTACTCGTCCTTGTATGAGTTCTGTTGCGCGTACGTTGTCTGTTCGTAGCTATTCGGCATTTGTTGTTGCTCTGGATACGATTGACCATATTGGCCATCGACTTGCGGCGTATAACCGTACTGATTATCCTGATTTACCTCGGGATACCGAGTCTTGTTAACGGAGTCGGTCTGACTGCTCTGCTGCTGGCTATAAATGTTCTCCGTATACGTGTCCTGCGGCAGATTGTCCTGACTACGATAAGCGTAATTATAGTCCTCATTATAGTCGGATTTGTAGTAGCTCTCCTCGGAGGGCGTTCTAGTCTTTGGCAGTTGTCTGCTCGGCGTAGCGGGCAGAGAAGCGAGCTTACGGTTGATCACCACGTTGCTCGGTTTGGTCGGGGTCGGAGGTAGTTTCTTACCGGTGCCACCCTCCTGCCGCGACATCGGACGTTGCTGCGGCTGCAAGATCTTCCGGCGACGAGTATTATATCCGCTTTAGAAAGAAATATCAAGTATTTAATGTGTGTATATGTTCAGGTATATCATTCTTTTAAGTTTTTCCTTCTTTAAATTTTAATTTGTGTTTTTAACTTTTTAACTTTCAGTAATTGTAGCACATTCCAACGTTCCGCTTATAATAAAATTTATCATAAAATTAGAATCAAAGAGAAAATTCTATAATGACATACTTATAGTCGAGCTCATCCGATTCATAGCTACGCTGTCTGGTAACAGTGGGTCTGTAGTCCGGCCGATGTATACCGATGCTCGAAGCCGGCCTCTGTGGAAGCGTCTTTCGGTTTCGTTTATTTTCATAGTGCGTATTTGTTCCTAAGAATCGTTTCCCTCCACTGTCCCACTGTCTGTCCTCATCGTCCTGACCATATCTGCGAAGAGAGAAAGAGAGACGGAGATTAGTTTCTTTTTCGACAATTACATTCTTTTTCTTCGCGGTTTTTATTGGCGCCGTACTGGCTTACCTCTCATCCTGATAGACGTATCCCGTTATGGTATCATAGTATTCGTTATACCTAATATCCGTCTCGCATTCCGGATACGTGGCGCTCATTTTACCCACTCTACCGTCGATATATCCATCAGCGTAATACGAGTGATCGTCGTATAGGGTCATCTGTCTCTCCAGAGACGGTCTTCTATACGGAATTGCTTGGAAAACAGGCAAAAAAATCATACACATTCGTCTTTATTCCTGACATAGCGAATATTTGATAAAATTGAAAGCAAATGAGTTTAATTAAAAATACGCAGACACATTTAATGAATTTATTTATTGTTGTGTAGCTAAGAGTAGAATCTAGGATTATTGCAAGGATAGAGAAGGGGAAGGAGTAAACAAAAGATATGGAGAAAAATGCAAGAAATTTTATTGAATAATCGACGATGCATTTAATCGTGGCCCAGTACCTTTTCCTCTCGGTCTTCTTGTAGTAGACGTCGTGTTGTTGGAGTAATATTCAGTATCGCTATAAATTCTCGTATCATCGACCCTCGTGCTACGATAATCGTATGTACCCTCGCTGTACCAGCCGTCTTGGCTGAAAGCATGAAACAACTATCAAAACTCTTGAGTCACATTCAGAACGAAGGAATTGAACCGAAAATGAGATGACTCATGATAAGGGACTTTTTGTCGACCTTCCTGAATGATCAGCTGCAATTACTAACTGCACCATGCAAATGCCTGTGAATTGGTTTAATGTACTGCTCCAAATTGCAAATTACAATAACATCTTTAATTTAATTGATGTACATTCGATAGTATATGTATTTCTCGCGTTATAATTCTCGAGATAATTTTAAGTCGCAGAGGCAAAGCCACATGCAACTAAAATATAAGCCACGTAACAACTATCAATTAAAGGCATGAGTTTCTTATTTTCTTATGTACGTTATTAAGGCGAAACGAGTGCTCAGCGATGGTGGCCTACTAACGTACGGCTCGCCCGACGTAATCACTGTTACAATCGATGTGTTTGCAATTGCATACGATTAATTGAGTGCAATGCAATCACAAGCTAAACCTAGCGTTGCGGTAATGCACGGTGCCGATCGTGATACGCACGGTAAGAACACAACAAAAACATGATGGATGAAGTTGATAATCGCATATGCGTGAGAGTGAGTGTGTGCTGTAGAGGTTCACTGAAATTCTCACGAAATCACCGCGGCCGCGCTCGTATCATACCTGTCCTCGTAATCCCACGTGTGCTTCCGTCGTCTGAATCAGGCAAGAAAATAAAATAAACGATTTTCTTCCGTCGTATTAATCTTTGTGAACTTAATAATAGGGGTTGTGCGCAATTGGCGCGTGAATAATAAACGCTCTTTGCTTTCGCACAAAATAGAATCGTTACGTAGGAATCGCCAATATGTTTAAGCGCTGGTTTATTACATTATTGTCGAATAATTGGGAATTCTCGCGGCCTTTCAGCGCGTAGTACCTGTATTCCTTATAGTGCTTCGGTCTACTGTTGTAGAAGAGTGGCTCGGAAGACTCTGAAGGATGCTGCTGGCCCTGCAAGTACCGCTGCGGTAGACCGTCCTCCGGATATGGCTCGTCATATCTCGGACTGTGAGCCGAACCTCCGTAACTTCCGTAATTACCAGGTGCCAGCCTTCCTCCGACGGTGACTGGAATCTGGCGACGTTACTTTCTTAATCTACTACTTTGTAATTAAAATGTCGCCGACGGAGAGCGACAAGCGGATTAGAAAAGCATTCAATCGTTCAAATGACAGTCCAGATAGTTTTGCGACTAAATCGCTTGAGAATACTGAACGTTACGTTATTAGGAGTCATTTAATAAAGTATCTATTTCTTTTTAAGTGTCCGGTGCAGAAAACTTTTCCGCCGTCGATCGATACCTGATGATCGTCTCTCTCGTAACTATTTTCTCTCGACGTCTCGAGGGACCTTTGAGGTGTAGCCAATTGGTTAGCCGCCGTACGAAACTGCGAGGCCGAGCTGTTCGCGCCCTGCCCACCTACTGGATAATTCAAATCCGACGTGTAGTCGGAGTCCTCTGAGTATCCCGCTGAAAGATGGATTACAATGTATTGTATAGCGTACTGGAGGAAACGATCGGAGGGACTGGAGTAAAAGTCTTTAGCGACGCCTGATAGTGCTCTGACGACTTTGCATTGGGATATTGGATACGTCGCCTCGCTTCTGCAAATGTCGACGGAAATCGTTTTATTTTCCTACGGCTGAAGAATGTTAGAAAACAAAATGCATACAACTGAAAAAAGAAAATAAAAGTCAATACTTCGAGCAGGCAGAAATACAAATTGTTATTATTATTACTATTATTTATTTTTTTTGCAATTAATAATCCGCTAAATGTAAATTCTAAAATGTAAGTTCTATTTTCAGGGCTGTCTATTACAACGCAAATCGATATAATGTATTTTCACAAAATTCACGTTTACATTCAGAATAGTGAGTTAACGGTTCGCGTTCGTTTCCCTGAATAAAACGTGAAGCCAATTCCAACTTCGTCGTGACAGTTTCGTAACTTCCCGCAGGCAGAATTGGTCGATATTGGTAGAATCCGGGAACTGAAGTGGGTGCAATAGCAGGAAGCAAGATAAGTATAGTTAACAGCCATGCGACAAATTGATCGTTATGTATAGGCACCGTCTCGATTTAATTTTTTATTTATTTTTTTTTTTAGTCTCTCGTGTGTGTCTTTTTTTTCTTCCGGAAATTGGGACCGGTAGGAATGCAAATTATCGTACGGAGGGTATTATGGAACGTTTGCAAAGAACATAGAACGAAAAGATCGGCCAGACACCAACGATTTGTTCAGTACAGAGAGAGAGCTAGTTTGCTTGCTACATGCCTTCTCATAGCTGTTACACGGGCTAGGGGTTGCTAGAAGGGGGTGTAACAACTGGGGTGGTAAGTTACCGACGACACGTCGATAGCCGATAACACATATGAAATGGCGTCTCGTATGCCTGTTCCTTCTAGGGTACCACGGCTACGTATGTACTCTCCGTGGATAAGACACGCGGCGTACGATCGCTGATTGCAAAATAGGAACCAGCACGTAATCAAATTGATTTCTCGCATGGAAAAATAAGGGCGTAAAAGTTTTATGACTTACTCGGAAGTAGCGTTCAAGCGAACGACCTAGAAAGCCACGGTTTCTAAAAATACTGCAAGTATGTCAGACGACCCGACGTGTGGATGAAAGTGTCGTGTGACGTAGGCTGCAGCAAATTAGTGCTCGCGATGTAAATATTACAAGGCGTTATTCGCATATGACTATCGATCTTCTCGCGTATCTTTTTTTCTCCTCGCAATTAGAGACCAAAAAAAAAAACGAGTAGCAACGATCGCGAACAGTGTAGAACGAAAATATCGCGAGTAGCAAGAGAGTGCATCATAAATGCGCGCCGCGATAGACCCGTAATAGAGAATGTGAAAGGTACGCGCAGAACAAAGCTGGAATCGAAATAATTCAATATCTGTATTTTTACTTTAATACCGTACGCTAACTCCATCATAAAAGATCGATACCGTGATTTTCTTGCTTTCTCGGCTTACGTCGGGAGATGTACGCGTTTTATTTACTTCGAATTCGCCGTCAAATCAAATTTCCACGGGAGAAAGAAAAATCAATCCTCGGCACATCGCGAGCGAATCCGTGCCGGATCAGAGACGGAATCGATCGGGGACGTTTCTCTCGCGCGTCGAGATTCGTAACGAGCGATTCGAATAAGATATCAGCCATCTAGACTGTAACTTGGACGGTACTTACAGTGGCCTATATTGTACAATATCTGCCTTCGTGCCTGTTCGGCCCGCGCCTCCTGGTCCATCATGTTGTTCAGCATTTCCAGCTTCCTCTGCAGATCGGCCGCCTCCGTGTTCTCGGGGTCTTTCGAAAAGATAGATATCGATGGGGAAACAATTAATCGCGAGTCTCGATAATCTGACGTTTTCAATCGATCTGTCATCCTAAGTTTACTTAGATACGTACTTAGTTCTCGTGAAAAAAAAAATTGACTAAATAGAATGCTGCCTATATCGTGTGTCTACAACAATGTTCGACTAGTCCATCTAACAAGCTCGCGATCAAAACAGCTACAAGAACTTTGCATTTTGACAAAATATTATTCGTAGGCCCTTACATAATCGTATTTTCTCTTTTTTTTCTAATTTAACTGATGTAAAATCATCGGAAACACGTCCGTTTGCCGTAATCAGGTGTACACATTGCTCGAAAATTGCGCAAATCTCGGTAAGTGGTCTAGAAAGAGCGCAATCCGCCTCGCCAGATTACTCTGCATAAATAATATCAACTCTCAGCGTTATATCCCTTTCCGCCCGCCCTTCTCCCCCACCCCCCTCTCTCTCTCTCTCTCTCTCTGCGCTCAATCATAATTACATATTGAACTAACAAACTCCCGAGGAAGGCTTGCAAACTTTATCAAACTACGACAACTCGCGACTCGCCGCTTCCGGAGAGCTCAGACCGATTTATTATGGGACTATTTCGCGAGCTACTCCATTCCAGCCAACAATTCTGCTACTCTGACGACGTTGGAAGATACTCCCTGATGGAAAGAAGAGGACGGCCGTCCTAGCGTTTACTCCACGCGCGTGTCGAGTGCATTAGTTTCTCTTGTTTTGCTATCGCACTTTCCACCCTGTCGCTAAGGACAGTCTTGCTACTTAACTAGCACTTCGATCGGCTACTTAGAATGTAGACGTCTTGATGAAAATACCATCTTACCCCAAAATGGAGCACGTTTCATTCGTGAGAAAACGTTAAATATTAGCCACCCTGTGCACAAGTAGGAAAATGTCTCTCTTGATCACTATACAGGCTGCGCTTTCGTTTGAAAAGCGATCAGATGCTGCAATAGCGCGATCTTAGCACGGATGCTTTTTGTATCTCGTTCTCCTTGGATTGGAGACGTTATAAGACCGCATGTATCTCGTTGCCCTTTTGCGTGTAATTTCTGTTGAATCTTGGCCACAGCTCGCCACTGTGTATCGCAGGGAGCACGATTTCCAACGTCGTATATATCTCATCTACCTCTCTGGATACAATTAAAAAAAGGGTCAAGCCTTTGACCCTTGAGGAGAACGGTTCGCCTCGCGAGTGCCGTCCGCTCTCCTTTGAGAATCGTCAGCCGCTGCCGGCGTAAGTTTCGGTCCTACCTTAACCTCGGAGGTATATGTCTCCACACTCTCCACCCCTTCAGTGACCCTCGTTATTCGCCCTGCAACCGCAAGCCGGCGGCTCTTTCACCCGTCTTGCGCGCCGACTCCGTCGTCTCATCGGCAAATACGCGGGGAAAAAAATGGAAGAAAAAGGAAGCTCACATTCACAGCTGAGTGTCGTAACGCGGAAATTGGAAAAAAGTATCTTGCAAAAGTATCTTGCGACTACGTCGTCCCGCTGTCGCACATTTCCGGCTGGACGGGCGAAATAAATGCAATGTCATAACTGCAGGCGTCGGTAATGGCGTACACAGTAACAGCTGGCCACCCGTATATTGACAAACTTTTAGCGACAACCGTGACGCTCATCGCGAAAGCGGTCTTCTTCTCCTCGCTTACAAAAGTGCTTCCTCTATTTCTGCACTCCTCGTTATTTTCCTCGTTCCTCTGTCAGACGTCACTCACCTTCGGATGGCTAAATTAAGGACAACGGTCGATATCGCGGCCGAATATATTTGGAGACGAGTTCACGTACTGTATAATGTGATAGTTGTATAAAATGTACTCCCCATCGTACTCTCGTATCTCGTCTTTACTATGGAAGTTTCAACGCTGTTACTGTTCGATGTTATCCGCTAAATATATTCGGTATATACATTATTTTGTTAATTATAATTGTAAGACCTAATTCGCATTATTCTCTCCGTCGTCTTCGATTTCGTGCACAATTATGGCGGAGCGACCTTCCGGAAGGAGAAGCGCCCGTGCTCCTCGTAGATTCTCAAAGAAACGAAATAAATTTTACACAATAGAGCGCCCGAAACCGTGGTTCCCACCCTCTTCGTGTTCTCTCGCCGCTTGAAGGAATTATACCACGTTACCGTGCTTTTCAAGCAGATTCTATTGATTCTTTCTCGACTTGAAAGAATCGCTTCAGCTGACTTCGAATGAGCGTTTGACGTCTCTCTGGTGGAAACGATTGAAAAGATTTTCCGCGTCAATATAAAACGTCTCGAGAAATACTCGAAATCTTCTCAAACATCTCATCGCCATTATCACACAATTATGTAGGAATAAGTTAGTATAATAAAAGAACGTATTTATCAAACTTCAACAATCTTGGCGATTCTCATTGGATTAATACATTAATTGGATCAATATTATTAAATATTTAATCCTTTATTATTATCTTATTTATATTTTAACAAAATTAAATCCATCATAAAAATATCTGGATAATAAAATATTCAATACCATTTCATCGACTTATCTTAAGGCAGCGGATTGCCTGGAATAGCACCAAGAGTGAACTCGCGTATTTCGTTCTAAATGGATCGCCTTATATACCGACAAGCGACACAGGTGACGATTTACTACCGAGTTAAATCTCCGGAAGGTCGTCTTCGTTCTACTCATCACTCCTCGTCGCTTTTGTCTCTCTAACCTCGTATATCCGGTTTGCTTCTTCGTATTCGGTCACGTACATGGCTGAACGGAAGCGTATAATTAATCTATTTTAAATGACACGGAATAAATAATTATCTTTCAGAATACGTGAGATAACAGATTCTACTGAAATAGCATTTTTCACGATTTTTCATGGGGTTTTTTAAATACTTGATTACAAACTACAACTACAATCAAATTAGTTAATCACAATATCAATTTAAATAAAAAAAAAAACGTTCCAAAACAACCTTTTTGTAAAAAATAAAAAGTGGCACGCGGTTTGATATTTCATTAGTTACGTTTTAAATTCGCATATTAATATCGATTGACAACGTGCACGATGGCCGATGGCTAAAAAATGTCCTATTTATTGTGTCAATATTTATTATGTTGCAAACATTAAATATTGACCGTTATTCGCGTACATTTTGAATGTCTAGATTTTGCCGCAGGAAAGTCAGATATATCGCGCACGATACGCGTTCCGCATGTTAAACATTACGAAGTAATATATTAACGAGAATATTGTTGTGTGCGCTATATGCATATATCAGAAACGACGAAGAAGAGAATCCTTCTTCGGATATAATGTGTTCGAGCAATGTATACATCCGTTATCTGTGCATCCCTTTTTTAAAAGTTAAAGAGAACTTTATTACATATATTTGCTTACACATCCGTATTAAAAATAATAATAATAATAATTGTCGGTAATAATATCGAATATCGAATTTCTATGCATTATAATCATCCTAGGATATCATATACAAAAAGAATCTTTGAGAGGAGTTGAATAAACGAACAACTTATCTCGACGTTCTTTCAAAGTGTCTCTCTCTTTTTCTCGAAATATCGCGTGAATGTCTTCATTGTACGAGAGAACGGTCGCGGAGAAAAAGAATAGGTACACAACTCCACGATGCTTGCTCATGCTTGAATAAGATTGAACTATAAAAGGGCTCTCGTCATCGCACCCGAATGAAATCGTACGTAACGATGGACAGTGTACTAACCACTAATAACGGTATTGCTCCCCCATCGTGGTTTGTTTGTGATTCTGACGTTAACGTTACTAGTAATGCCACAGCACAATTCCCGTGTAACTAATTACAAGATACAGATATAGTTTACGTAAGACAGATAGGTAGAGAGAGACGGAAATAGAGCGGAAAAAAGGGGAACAAGTGTCTACGGACAGTCGTTAATTACAGTGTCGCAGCCATAGCTTAATGTATCTGCAGGTACCCTCTGTTTCATGTATCGATACTTGAAAGAACAACACATTGTATGTACATACAACAGAATCTCTGATCTCTTTCTCTTTCTTATCTGTATTCACTTAAAATCACCTCCCCCCCCCTATTGTGCTATCGCCGCGCCACTGCGTGCACGTGCGATGGTGCTTCGGGAGTAAGTGTGTGTGCGTACGTGTGTGTGGGCTCACACGAAAAAAAAAGAACTTATACCTGAAGAGAGAAAGTTTCTCTTTTGTCTTCAGTCGATTCAAGTTAATATCGACCAATTGAACGAATGCAATGCGCAAAAATGCAGCGCCTGAAAGCGAGGCGCCGGATGCTCGATTAATGCATCACATAATTGCGTCACAAGGCTCATTATTTTTCTGTGGCGTAAGAGATCATCTTAATGAGAAGAAGACATTTAAGATGCACGAACTAGTGATAACATTTATCGTACAAACAAAATAGTGGGCGTGTTCTGCAATAATAATTCTTCCGAGCGTGTAATAAATATCTGAAGCCTGTCTCCATCCCAATTAAGTAATTAAACAGTTACGCAACTTTCTTCAGGTTCTCCACGTTACAAACGAGTTATGTACTCGTATGCTGAAATAATGCAGTTTAACCATCATAATATCCATCAGTGCGAATAACAAAGCTAATTAAAATGATATTAAACTGACGCAAAACAAAGAGAAACGGAAGCTAGCAAATAATTAATCAAATAATGAGAAGAGAAGGATATTTCAATGAACAAATATTTGAGGACATAATAATTCAAACAAATCGCTTTTGAAGTTTAAATCGAATATGAAAAGTTTATGAAATAAATGTGACGGTTAAAATTTATCGGGAGGAATCGTCACCGTCTGTACTTGCTGAGCGATCGCTTTTATCGTTTTCATCTGCTTCTTCTGTTAATGTTAATAAATTTTTCACTACGTGCATCACTCATAAACACAGTGCTCGTTTTAAAGGCACGTAACGTTCGGTGACTGCTTCATCGACCCTTTAGACATTCATTGGAAACGTCGCATGGAAAATATTTTATCTCATTTGCAACAATATTGCCGCGCGGACAGTAGCGTGAGCGTATATTT